CTACATCAAGAAGGTGTATTCTAGTCTGGACTGTGTCATTACTCATTGTGAAATCCTGAGCAGCAGAAAGGTTGGTTCCGAAGCCACATATTTGATTGATTTAACTGTATCCGACTCCTAGTTTGATCTCCCCTGATTGTGAGAATAAGGAGTATCCCAGAGATATCGCTCTGACTCACCATGTATCACTGTAATTCATGTAACTTTCCATAATCTGCATACTGTCGCATCATTATCTTCGAAGAACCCTAAGTACTACATCAAGCCAGTTAACGGGCGTTGTTCCTGAGATTTCCGAATATCTCACCCCTTTTAGTCATTGGTAAATTTGCTCAAGGAGAACACAATCTATATTTGCACCCCCATGAACGACCACATTATCAATTGTTGGTATTTGTCTGAACTGTTGACCGTGGAGGATAAGTGAAATTTGGTGTTTTTATTGCCTTTCACATCCTAGTAAGACAAAATTGGAGCCCACCGTGAGGGGGGGAAATATTATTCTTCTAAGCACCTTTCTTTGACTGTTCACGTATAAGTCTCGTATAACCCCCATCTTTTCGAAATCTACTAAGTCAATTACATCACTCCTCAACTTCCAACATGGGAAGCATTGCAAATCTTCCACCTACTGCCAGCTCATCTGCACCACCTGGTCCTGTTGCATCTACCAGCCAGAGTGTACCACCAGTCTTCATCACAGGCACTACCACAGCTGCCTTGGGACCCGCTGAAGGATCTTCAACTCAGCTGAGGGTGCAGCTGATATAATTGTTGAAGGGAGGAAAATATGAGTGCGATATGTTCGTCCCTTAGGGGAAGCGGAGAAAGCAAATATCCACTGGTCAACTCTAGGGGGAATGCGCAAAGCGCATGATAAGGCGAAAGCGCGGGAACAAAGGCGCTATAGGCGCGCGAAGCGCGGGAAAGTCGTGCGTCGAAAGCGGAACTGGGTGAAAGCAGTATGCGAGCGATAGTGAGATGTTAAGATGTGTACTGAGATGCTGATAAGACAACTGATGCGGATATGGCCACTAGAGCTAACTGCTACTAGGGCTTGCGATGATTTATTCAAAACATAATAAAAACTCGGAGATGGTGACTGTCTATGATGATGGTGGTCCGTGGTAATGTGTGTTGTGTGTCGTAAAAAATGTGTAATGAAAAATGTGTACCAAGTGAAAATAAACATGGTACGATGTTGAAATAAATGATAAATGGAGAAATGCATACCTGGGAACTTGGTTGGACATGGGAAAACACAGTGGGAAGTCAGGCGCCCTATAGCGCTTAGGCGCGGGAAAATTCGCCTAAAGCGCGCGCAAGTCGCGGAAGTGTCGCCTATGTCGCGGAAGTGTCGCCTAAGTCGCGCGCGTCGCGCGAACATCGCGTTTATCGCGCAAGTGTCGTGTTACATGCATGATACTGTAGACTCGACCTATGTTGCAATATGTGCCATTGTGAGGCTACTGTTAAGACCGTACTCAAGTAGTATCGGATCCGAAGGGCTTCGGCCTCAGCTCGTGCGCTGTGCCCCTTTCCCGAGTCTTGCCCCTCATTTCAGAGAGCTAAAGTATCGCGTGTATAGAGTAACGGCCAATCCGGATTGGATCCGGACTAGAAACTAACGGGTGAGGACTGCCCGAAGACAGAGGCGGATATGTAGACTATAGGAATCTATCCTAAGTCTCGGAGTAGACAAGAGTAGCGTACTCAAGTCCGGATGGATAACGGAGGGACTCAGAGTCCAGACGGAATGAGTGCAATCTAAGATGATATTCGAACTGATCTACTACAGCGCATATACAAAGGTTTATATACTACGGATAGCTAACGGAATGATCAATAAGCAAAGGTGCGAGGCTATGTACGAAAGTATAAGCAAAGTCTAAGTGGAGCGTATTGGTAAGTTGGATGGATCACGAATCATGAACCGGGAATGAAGTACAAGTAAAAGCGGATTCGTAAGTGTAGCGGATCAGTAAGCATAGCGGATCAGTAAGCAAAGCGGAAGTAAAGGATAACCGGTATACCGGTGTACAGGAATACCGAAAGGAGATGAACGATAGTTAGAGTTATATGAACAGGAAATGAAATAAGAATCAAGGCGGATCTGTGGACCGGACGATGGATATGTTCATCGGATCTGGATCGGATCTGAGATCCAGATCATCGGATCTGTAACCAGATATATGGTATATGACAGTATCCCCCCCTTAGGGCCGATCCCTAGAGGCACAAGAATCAGCGATCCGGAACGGATGGTATGAGTGCGAGACAATGGAGAAGCTGATGGGAGAAGTTGCTGAGTTCGGATTCTGACAGATATACGGATCCGGATATGAAGACGGTAGTAGCGGATGAGGTGGAAGTGGAGTATGATGATCAGGCCTGGGTTGCGGCCGCTAATAGCATTGTAGCGGAACTGGCTCGGACCAACGGATTGCTCCAGCAGAGCATCGGAGCGGCGGAAGGGAGTAGGACTGCTATAGAGCGGATGAATACTAACTTGGAGGCGTTTTTGGAGCAGCAGAGGGAGTTCCAGACCATCCTTCTTGAGGGGATCCGGAATGGAATACGGATTACCGAGGCGGCTCGTTCTGAGGCCACTGACAAGGACGTTGATGAATCCGGATCCGGATCGGGTGGTGACATGGAGATGGATGGCTGAGGATTTTTGGATCTGCCTTCTCTGCTACTAATGTACTTGTATATCCGCTTTGTATATTCATTGTATAGCAATAGGACCGGGTTTGTCTGGATATGCAGTGTGGAAATCCGAGACTAGATCGGACGCGTTTCCGAGTTCCGTGGCTAGTAGCCATGAAGTCTCTTCGTCTGTTCCTTCGTATCCAGACCATCAGACGAGGTATAAGAGTTGGCATTGTCTTCTACGACGGTCCAGCTTAGAGTCTAGGATTTCGGATATCTCATATTCTGGTTCTCCGTCGACTTCGACCGGAGGTGGAGGAGGCTGGATCCGATTGGGAATTGTGTTCGGAACGGATGGTTCTAGCTGTGAGACATGGAAGACGGGGTGGACGGATTTCATGGATTCGGGAAGTCGGATGGTAAAGGAATGGGTACCCGGACGGGATATGACTTCAAACGGACCTAGATTCTTTTCCGAGAGTTTCTTAGACGGACGAGTGGACCGGAAGTACTTAGCCTTGACAAAGACTTGGTCTCCGATATTGATATCCGGAGCAGGTTTCCGTTTAGCGTCCGCAGGTCCTTGATATCTTTCTTGGGCGTGAGCCATTTCTTCTCTAAGGAATTGGTGAAGGTCGTCGAGGTCTATAGCATAGTCGCGAGCGCGGATGGAGGATAGATCGCGTTCCGGATGGACAGATATGTTCGGATGATAACCCTTATTAGCAAAGAAAGGCGATACTCCGGTAGTAGCACTTGGAGCGTTATTGTAGGCAAATTCTGCTAAGGGAAGTAGTTCCGACCAGTTGTCCTGTTGATAATTGCAATATATCCGAAGGTATTGTTCCAGGGTTTGGTTGGCACGCTCGGTTTGTCCATCCCCTTCCGGATGATATCCGGATGTGAAGTGGAGGACCATATCCAATGCTTTTCCTAAGGATCGGAAGAAGTGGGATACAAACTCTGTACCGCGATCTGAGGTGACATGGGACGGAACTCCGTGCTTGGAAAACACATGAAGTAGGAATAGACGAGCGAGATCCGGAGAGGTAATGGTATCGTGAGTCGGAACAAATATTGCTTGTTTGGATAAACGATCTATGATAACGAGGATGGCTGTAAAGCCTGATGAGTCCTTCCACGGAGCATCCTTGCGTGTAAGCCGTGTTAACGGAACCACGATATCCGAGTAGTTGAATATAAACCGTCTATAGAAATTTGCGAATCCGAGGAAGGATTGGATATCCTTGACTTTCCGAGGTTCCGGCCAGTCAGTAATAGCTTGGATCTTATCGGACGACATAGTTAAGCCGTCTGGAGATAGGAGATATCCGAGATATTCAACGGAAGTGGAATGGAATTCGCATTTTTCGGGTTTGGCATAGAGACGATGTTTACGGAGTCGACGGAGTAACTTCTCGGACGTTTTGCTTGTGGGACGCAAGGTCATGGGAATAGATGAGGATGTCGTCCAGATATACGATAACGCATACATCCAGCATATCAGCAAACACGCTATTGACAAAGCGCTGGAATGCTGCTGGAGCGTTAGTGAGACCTTCCGGCATCACCAACCATTCATAGGAGCCATAGCGCGTTCGGAAATGAAATAAGAATCAGATCGGATCTTTGGACCGGACAACGGATATGTCCATTGGATCTGGATTGGATCTGAGATCCGGATCTTTGGATCTGTACCCGGGAATATGGTATATGACACTATTTCAAGGAGTTTATCTAGCTCATATTGTTTTTGCACTTCCAATTCTTCTTTCAAACTTTTCCAATACTTACTACATCATTCAGATCCTTTCAGTGAAAGAATCCATATATTCAATTGCCATGAGCCATAAACTGTTTTCTAAGGGTGAGAACATTCAATTTATATAGAAGGCATCTGTACTTTTTCCTCTCTTTACATCTCTATTTATATGGGCAGTATGAATGTCTTCTGTCTTTACATCTGCTCTGCAGTAAGGCTAGATAGCAGGTAGTAGGCTATGACCTTTCCTTTCTTTCCGTGACTGATCAGTGGATAGAGGATATCTGTAGATACTATATTGTTAATGTAATAGCTAGGGACTGATGTCCTCCTGTAAAATAATGCCATAATCATTTTTAAGAATTGGTTGCTTGTTTCATAGAGCATCTATGAGCAAAAAGGTTGTGGATGACTAAAGATCAATGAGAGCAAAAAGATGATGAACATTGTCTACAGCTAATCTATGTTGAAGAGGAAGCAGCATGTCTAGAGGAAAGAAAGAAGAACAAGTACAAATACACATTTATTCAGCACAAAAAAAGTCCTTTTAGACCCTAGTATTATTCCTGCCATATATGTCATAGGGAAACTAAAAGCAGGAAAGTTCTGCAAACTTCATTATTTTACTAATAAAAGATTAAGCAATGCTAAAGTCACAGTCCTAGTTGGAGAGCCAGATGCTATCATTATGCTTCCTAAAGCTAATGGTCCACACACCTGGGTCCCAGCCACTATGGTAAATGATCCCAGTGCCTCAGCCATCATCAAAGATGAAAACCCAACATGGGAAGAATTCAATGAAGCTGGATCTTGTATGATCACCATGATAAAGGTACAAGACTCACATGACTGCATTAACATGCACATTCAGTTTTGAATTGCACTGCATAATCATCACTAGTGTCATGCACCAGACCAAATACAGCAAGCTTTACTCCATTACCAAGTGCAACAATGCTGAAAATGGCACCTTACAGTAGAAATGTTGCAAGGATGGGGTCTCAGAGAAATCAACCAAGACTTTTTGGCAGAAGTAAGAGAAGAACAAGAAAATAGCAATGGCTATCTAGGTCAGTCACATTATTGATTCCATAATTAACTTTTCTTACCTCCTATCAACTTGTTAACTCATTTCTACCTTTTGCTACATATAATCAATTGTATTTTACTTCTGGCTCACTTCCATATTGCACAATTTGCTTCAATAGAAACCCACTCTGCACTGTCAAATGTATAACCACCCATACTTAGAATGGGCAGCACAGGACCTTCTCCTAGCACATCAGAAAGGGCCTATAGACCAAGAACAAAAAGCAGATCTGTACTGCATGGCAGATAGACAAAGGATGTACCACATCTAAGCATGATACATGTCACATGTGCTCCATCTGCAGAACCACAACCTACTACAGAGCCCAGAAGTACTCTAGAGTGCAAAAGAAAGCTTGCACTAACCCTTTATAAAGCTGATGGGTGTAATTGAAAGAAATAACAAAAAGAATCCTTGGAGTGCTGTAATCATTCAGTCAGTACAGAATCATCACTAATAAGAACAAGAAAACAGCTTCATACCAGTACTCCAATGATGCTTGTAGGGATACATACCATACCTCCTCTCTAAATTGAATAGAAGTGAAATTTAAGTTGTCTTCACAGAAAACATGGATTCTGCTGAGTGGTTGACATTCTAGCTCATCTCAGAGTATACTAGCCTTAATGTCAGCAGTAAGGATAAAAATATAAGAGAACTCATTTAAAACTCAAAATACAAATGCAAGAACAAAATCAAGGGCTTGTAAATAAGCTAAAACAACACTGTAGCTTAAGTTCCAAAGTCATAGTCCAAAGTGAAGACAAATTTGTTCAGTTTGTTAGCCTTTGGTCTCACCTTAGTTTACTACATAGCTATTTTAGAATAAGTATGTACTAACAAGGATTCACAGTGATTGATGTAAAGTTGAATTCTTAGTCAAAATCATAATACATCTTGAAGGTCATTTATGTTTGTCCAATACAGGCTCCCATACTGTTTCTGCAGACAATACTTCTACTGCTTCAACTATAACACAATCTCAGCACCCCAATTGCTCAAATACATTAGCTCATCCTAGATGTGCCCTTTACTCAAATTATTGATGGGCACCCTTAGGACATGCTCATAGTTGCATACCTGCATACCTACATAGGGTTTTCTGCAGCTATATCTTCAATATAGTGTAATCTATGGCCTGGTGTAGGATCTTCAGGACTGGACCTGGGGGTATGAAGGAAATAGTGCAATATTCAATTTTCCTGGATTTCATAGTAATGATAGGTCAAAAAAGGAGCTACACAGATCAAGGCCATTCTCCAGCTCCTGCATAAACTATATAGACTCATTCTCTTCCTAAGCATCTCTCATGATGAATGGAGGTTACATAGTCCAAGTAGAAGAAAGGTAATGTTATAAAAGAAAGAAAGAAATTTGCAGAAGGCAAATATGTCAACTTCACATAATGCAATGCTCTCACACCACACCAACAGGAATTACAACCATAATTCAATTCCTTAGCAGGCATAAGTTGACAGGACATGTGACGCCCAACATAAGTGAACTTTCCTGATTTCTAACTTTTCCTATTGCTTTGCTAGCAATTTATGGTATCAACTGTATAGGGTTTATGTTAATATATTCCTGCCTGTGTAGACCACTGCTGATACATCTAAGACATCTTTGCAAGGTCTATATGATTTTATACCTATGCAAATCAATGTCTCCCTTGCAATAATTCTACTCAACATCCTGGGATTCCTCTTGTGACTACTGAAGTATGCTTGTACCTGCTTTGTATAAAGATACTATGTGAAACACAACTCAACATCATTTTGACATCAATATGCAATTGCAATACAACAAGTGGGACTCCTGGTATGAATGTCATGTTACCAATTATAAGAAGGCTGTAAATGATATAATATATAATGCATGACCCCCATTACTAGATACTAAGGCCCATAGGCCATACTGATGCAGTCTCCTGGCTTGATGACATGAACTTCACAGGGTAGGGGGGATGTGTATACAGTAGATTGCAGAGGCAGCAACTTTGATGAGGGGTGACTTGAAGTCATGCTCAATTATCACTAGAAGGATGGCATCCTGGAACTATACCACGATCCCTCCTGGAGTAACCCATTTGCTAATGCCGGACTTTTTAAGGTACTCTCTCCTCACAACTTGAATGAAGTCTCTAATTTTGATAGATTCATTTTTGAGTGAAGGTTCATGTATCAGGTCAAGAGAAGTTATTCTTGAAGTGAGTGCTTTAAGAGCCAGCAATCCATGTTGACGCAGCAAACCTCATCATCAAAGCCAAGGATTTGATTACAGAGTCCAACTTGAAGCTCATTAAAGAGTCCCGGAGGGTCAACATGACTGAGGTGTTATTAACTGTGTGCAAACTGTTTTAGATTGCATGAAGACCCATAGGCCCTCACTGTAGTGACTTTGTCGATGGTTCATTATTGCGTTAACTTGACTCCAATGTAGAGTTGCTAGTCTCATTCCTTAGGGCACATGAATATATCACAGCACAGTCACGCATGCAGACAAGTCAACAGAGCAACTTGGATTGATGAGTACATACATATCATGTATAACTCCTGTTAAACAGACATAGACAACTGATGTATGCAAAATTGAAATGTGAGTAATGAGATACAAAGGAGAGAGACATGAGGCCAGCGAGGAAAGGATGGCAGGAGCTGGAACTGGCATTGCCTAGAATGAAATTGGAGATTTTGCTGTCTTTTGCAGCTCAATGACTAGTAGAGGTGGAATGGATAGTGCAGATGGCTGTCTTTTGCAGGTCGAAGACTAGCAGAGGTAGAATAGATGGCGCAGATGAAGCGGGTCATGGGAAAACACACCTTGGTTGCTCCCCCAACCCTCCCCAGATACGATGTCTCCACTTCTCTATGTAGTCCTGGTGCAAATTCAGATTCATGCTAAAAATCATCCTGGTCACATTGTAACAGAGAACCAAGGCTTGTGAATTCCGGTCTGATTGTGTTGAATTGTGGGTGTTCCATCAAAAGGGTGGACTGCACAGAGACCAATGATTGAAGATTTCACGAGTTAGTCTATGAGCAGGATCAGATGCACAGTCTCAGACAGGCATATGACAGTCCCATGACCCAGGGGCAACAAAAAAAGTGCATAATGCACAGTGAGCAGGGAGTACTGAGTACTGAGGCCTGAGGCTTTATCGAAGGCCACCTAGTAGAGTTGGAGTTATAATTTTGGACTTTAATACTGAAGCTTCAATGTTTGAACATACCTTTTAGAAAATATATGTACAAGTGTTCAATGTTTAGGATCTGGCAAATCACCTGCCCAGTCTGCCAGACTGACTCAATAACTAACATCAATGCATACTATGTGAATAGGATCAAAATGTACCTGCCAATACAACTGCCTGACTTGTGGCACTGGGACTTTGGTCTGTCTTGTTTTGCGGTTCAATCTTTTTACACTGAAAAATGTTACTTTCAACTTGTTGAATACCAATGTGTTTTGCTGCCTACAGTGGTTGCATTGTCCCAAGGTATGAACACCTGAGTATTTTGAACTTTTGTCTCAAATGCTGATTGTCTTGCAAGTCAAGCTTAATTGAAGTACAGATGAGGGAGTTTTGGTCGCACATCTGACCCTCCACATAAGATTGAATGCTCGTATGATAGTACATTTGGAAGTCGAATTCATGAAACGAGTGGGAAAAGTAAGTTTGACTGCCGGCAGTAGCTGTTCCCTATAGGAGTGACACTGACTGACATGACATCATCAAGTCAATATGATCATAAGCTCCTCACAATGTTAGGACTGGGATCACGTCTGACTCCCTTTGAGATGATTCCCAATATCACATCAGCGTAGTACGCTGCAGTGTTGCATTTTACATCTGAATCATGACTAGAAACCAGAGCAAAATAAGCTGGACTGCAGGCAATAGCTATTTGTGGTATGAGTCTTGCTGATCGACATGAAAATGCAGATCCAACCACTTTTGACATAGCATATGTCAATGTCACCTTCCATGGCAACCATTTCTCCCTCAATATTTTACATGCTACCAGGGAAATCATTGTTAAGATGGGAATGAAGTGGGCTGCTTCTAGAGGCTAATAAGTGACCAGATATGATCAGGACTACAGTCCAGAGTAAGTTGCCAATGTATTGGAGTATAGTAAGAGTATACAGTACCTAGAGTCCAGAGTAAGTTGCCAAAGAGACAGGGAGCACTGGACTCTAGGATATGGGCGATGTTTGGTAAACAAATGTAAATAGACAAGCTACAATCCAAAGGTAAGGAATAACTCGACCTAGGGACGTCCTACGGAGGTCAGGAAGTCATGTAAATAGTCAGAGAAATGTGAGTAATGATACTGTAAGTATATAGAGATAAAACACATAGGAAAGCATACTGTAGAGGTGAATAATCATATAACTAACAATCATTGCATGTACTGTTACTATACTAGCAATGTGATCTATGTCAGAAGTACTTTGATTTTCTGATTTCATGTCCCAAGTCTGCTCATCATGACAATCATGTAAATTTCAGTGTTGGCATCATTCAGGAATCAAAATGCACACTCTCAAGCTTCTGTGTGAGGTCTCTTGAGCCTGTTTGTCAGAGACGAAGGTTAGCTGTTAAACAGCAGGAGATTCAACCAAAAGAAGCATATGCTGATAAGCGCCTTTGACCAGCTCCATCCATTTTAGTTGGTCATCCTTGACCTGGTGTCCAAGGCTGATTGTTTCTTGGTGGTGCTTTATAGCTAGAGGCTGTAAACAGATTTTATTCATTGAAATAGTATGTTATTAGCACAGAAGGACAGACTACGAGTTCTGCATGGTTTTCAGCCATGGCTACCATAATGCTCTGCTTCCCATCTTCTAAAATTGCATATTTTTCCAAGAAATTCTCATGAATGGTCTCCCTTTTATTGCGCATCAGCATTAAGCAGACAGGTTTGCACCAGAACATGATCTCCTACATGTCGCGGAGGATGCCAACAATCTTGGTTTCCTTATTCTGGAACTGGTAGAACTATGAAGACAAGACCATAAAAAATTGAGGATCGAGACTATGAATCTCAAGGTCCAGATCATGATTCAATGCCTGTATGATTTTATCATTGCATTTCTTCATCTTGGTCTCCCATAGAGCTGGCACATGCATATAGTCAGCTCAAATTAATATCACAGTCATGTAGGACACGCCTTCAAATTCTGCTGCGAGGACGGCAGTCATCATTAGATATATTACTGTCAACATCATCACATAAACTTTCGCAAAAATGACTACTGGCTCATCGCGGGTAAACTCATTGCTGGTGCTTTGGGACAATACCAGGAAGGCTTTGTCACCTTTGTCCCCTAATGCTGCAGCAGATGACACGTGCATTTCTGGCATCTTTGAATTGGACGATGAGGGAGTGAAGGAGGCAAGCTTAAGGTGACACTTTGAAAGTGACCGCAATGGTGAAGATGCAATCATGTGATGATTTCTATGTCAATAACCCCTGGATAGTTCAATGGTATGCACCTCAACGGGGAGGATGCTACATATAATTCAATACAGGTGAGTTACCATCATGGTGTCCATTCATCTCAGTGTATTATTTTATGAAAGTACAAGGTGAGAAAGATCATCAAGAACAATGGCCTCCATCTCAACACCGCAATTCAGTATTAGTCACCAATGGTCTTGGCTTTTATAATGGAGAAGGTATGGGGTTTTATGTCACAAATACCATATCTCACCAAATTCAAGCACACTGGCCTGTCAAAGAGTTTCTTCTGCAATATCTGCAAAATCATCGCAACTATGAGAAATGAAAGGGGCATAACAAACCCTCGAAATCAAAACCAAAGGTGGTCTTTTATCATCATTACATCCATATTAAATCCAAGTCATGAAAGGCAGCAAGGGGTTGCACCTAACAACCTGTTCCCACTGACTTTGGTGAATTGCAAGATGATGGCAAAAATACTGAGAACGGTCGACATAATTTCCAGTGATAGGTCAATAATTACCTGAGTGAGTTATGCCCAGATTAACATTTAGCGGCACTTACAGGCACTTCCAATTAGTCAGACAGTGCCAACCTGAGGGAAACACCATTGTGTCATACCCACTGTCAAGCATGTCACATTCCAAGTTAGTGCAATCTGATCTTGGTGACTTATTGAGCTTTCAACAGGAAACCAAATTTCAAGATGTAGTGGACTCTACCCATTTACTGACAGTATATCTTCATCCAGGCCCCAGATGCTTCCAAACATGAACCAAACAAGGAAGAATATGCGACTTCTCCAGTATCCAAGCTGACCATGGAGGAAATCTAAGCCAAATGGAATGCAGCGTTCAGAAGAAAGTGTGCCCCACCCCAAGACAACATGGACCTGAGAGAAAACTTGGGCCTCAGGAGATTTGATCTTTGGCAACTGGATGTAAGTACTCGACTTTGGCGTTTGACTTTGACCTCTGGCCATCATTCTTGGTGCTTAGACTGTGACATGGACTCTTTATGATGTGATGCTCTGGACTCCTGTATCATTTGCTACAAACAGCAACTTGAACGAAAATTCAGTCCAATGGGAAAAGTGACATATGCCATGGAGTCTGGCACAGCCAGTGATCAGAGCATGTTCAATGCAAATATTGACAAGCAGTAAAGCCAGCACTGGACAAATGGTGTCACCATGAGCTACAACAAGAAAAGCCTTCATAACAACCACAAAGGGCTTGGGTAATTAACCACCGTTCTCAAGAGAAACATGGTTACAGATGAGACAGAAAAGACCACCATCTGAAAGGTGGTCTTATTGGTTTTGCAGCTGCTCAATGAAAATTGTAACAATGAGGAGATCTGGCTAGAAAAGACATTTTGGAAATTATACATTACAGAATGGGAAGTAATAAGGTCTGTATTTTGAAGCTAATGTAAATGTTGTTAGTTATATGATTATTCACCTCTGTATACACTTTCATATGTGTTTATCTCTATATATACTTATGGTATCATTCCTCACATTTCTTTCACTATTTACATCACTTTCTGACCTTCCTAGGTCGTCCCTAGGTTGAGTTATGTTTTATCTTTGGATTGTAGTGTTAAATTTTAATATGATCTTGAAGTGTTTCAAGATGGTGATTAGCATGACAAGGAGAGTAGTACCTCTCTCTGTGCACCTTCTAGCTTGTTTGCATCTAATACCATGTCTATGGACTCTCATGATGCAGACTTTGAACTCATCCTAAGTACATCTACTTTTGAGCAAATCAATACTTCTGACTATTACCCTGGTGTGAACAACTACAAAATTGTAGACTTACATGTCATTGTAGATTCTCATATAGAAAGCAAACTGTTTCTCACACAAGTCAACTTACATATATGGCCCTGGTTCCAGGAGTCCTAGTGGATATTTTTAACAATCCATTTTAGTTGTGCAAGAAGGCTTGACTTCTTGTCTTAACTCCATGCATTGAGTTCTTTCATGCAGTATGATACTGATATGTAAACTGCTACACAAAAGATGACTTATAAGCTGCATTTAACTCGCAAAGCATATTAAAGTGCAAACATTGTTGTTGAGTTCGGTAGGTAGTTTGTTTAGCCAAGTAGGTTCTGATATATTCAACTAACTCTCTTCATGCAGGAGATCATTGATTATAACCAGCATTCATTATTATTGTATGAGTAGGTTGCTTTAACTTAAAACAGTATATTATAGGCTGATTGTTACAATAATTAGTGTGTCTCAGTGACCTTTTGAATACTTCCCCTTCAACTGCTTTAGTTTGGCCTCTTTCTGTACCAGTTCTTTCTTCTGCTCAGCCAGTAAGTATATTTCCTTTTGGATTAGTTAAGCTCTTTCACTATTTAGTGCAGTTTTCAGATGGCATATGTGACACTATATCTTGATGACTTTTGATCCATGTGTTGGCCAAATGAAGCTGACAGTTTCTAGATCTCTTTATTCGGCTTGAGCTTGGACTGGCAGACTCTCCCACAGATGCTGGGAAATATTGGGGCCCCAGTCCTCTGAAAGGTCTTTAAGATAAGAACTTGTTATTGGTGTACTAAATACAGCTACATACCATTTTGGTAGTTGATCATATGCTGATGCAGCAATTGTTGTCTGATGAGTACATTAGATCATGGCTAGAAGGGACAGACTAGCAGATTGAAGGACAAATGAAAAAGCAGAAGCACATTCAACAGATATAGTCTTACCAAAGAACTTGTTAGTAGTGCTTTCCTGTATGTACTACATTCACAACCAAGTACAATCCAAATCATGTTCCATATCGCAGATCACCATGAAGCCAAGCTACTTGCTGCACTTGTTGGTACTTTTGAGCCTATGCACATTCTCTTGGTCTGAGAAAGGACAACTAAGAAAGCAATACTGCCCTTGGCAGGTAAAACATGCCAAAGACACCGGAGTGAGAGTCAAAGACTGCTTAGGAGGGCACGAAACTTGCTTATGAGTTCAACCATGCACTAACTCTTCAATGGCATATTATGCCAGATAAGCAGAAGTAGGAAAGGCATCTGAGGGCCACCAGATACCTCAGGCGTATGAATCTGGAATAGGCTATTGGTATACTAATGCATAGTGCATTACTTAGTTTAAATTGGCTGCCAGAAATTCAAAATGTGTCTATAAATGTTGTTATGTTTAATTTAGCTAATTGGTCATCAAAGCATTACAATCAGACAATAACGTATATAGGTTACTTCGCTGATGTGGAGTCTGTGCAGCACACAAGCCATTTGTAGATCTAATCAGGGTTGGGCATATTCTTGTTATACGCACTATGTACATATTTCCTATTCTCTATTGAATGATTTGTGCATATTTGTGCATGCTGGAGTTTCCTGGCACTACACTTATAGCATAAAATTTTCCTGGTCTCAGCATATCCTCACTCATTAATGCTCTCATTCTGTACACTCACCCACCACTCCCTTTTAAAATGTTTCGTAATTTTTCCGTTATAGCATGATATCATTGTTAGTGCAAGGCAAATCAATTAGATTTGCAAATGCTAATTCATTTCTATGAAGCTAAGTCTTAAAGCATTTTGAAGGTATACATTCTAAAAGGCTAGGTGAAGATATCACTGAAGATGCACTCAGAGCTACATAATTACCTTACATCATGCTATTCAACATAATATGTCTATATTAGATATCCAAGGGCTTAATGGGTGCACTAAAATGATGAAAGCTAAAAGGGAATCTATTGTAGGACTTCTCAGTAATAATTGTATAGGTGACCCTATATGTCTCACTAAATATATTCATTTATGATAGCAAAGTTGGTAGTTTTTGATTCAGTGAGGGAGTAATGTTACAACATTTGCCATCATTCTCTGTCTTGTTATACAGCACATAACTCAAATCTTTTTCCTGCATCATATGACTATTATTTTTTATTAGATATTTTCTAATTAAATGATACAATATTATACCACACCATGCCTTTTTTCATGAGTCAACTGTTGTTATAGCCAGTATAGACTTGCCATAAGGCTGTCTCTATTGTACCTATATAAACACAATTCTAAGCTATTTCTATGCAATCTGGTTTCTTGACTGACTTGTACCTTCAAACTTGATTCTCTCATCTTGAGCTGTTTTCTCTGATTGTGCTTATGGACAGCACCCAAGATCCAACCTTTATGATCATGTAAGAAAACTATGCATATTAATAGCATGTCCAGATATTACAGAGTAGTTACAGGAGGTATGGTTTTGACCTTGTTGCCTTCACCAACACGAATACACATGTCTAAGTCATTCACCTAGGAATCTTATATGAACCATCACCTGTATTTATCAAGTCTAACACCTACTAGTTGACTTGTCCTTATAGTGACTCCTCATCCCTCCCACTCTTATTATCTCTACATATGGCCCGCTACTATGAATACAAATGACTTACTATCTTGTTGGATATGAACAGACATTGGAGGTGTGTAGGTATGATCCATAATTTGTGAGCAACTTCTGATGACAGATTCCATATGTGAAGTCCTAGATCATACTTGTACTGTGTAATAATAAGCACAGCAGGACTCCATGGTTCATCAGGAAAAAACCAGGTGGCCACATAGTACTATATAGTCAGGGTTAGCGTGAGTAGCTCCATCATCAAGTGCCCTCTATATAGTCAGTGTAGAATTCCATAATAGCTACCAGTAGCTACTATGTACTACTATAGTTCATTGGAGTGCTGCTACAGGCAGCTATCAGCCAGAACCTTGGAGTATGCAGTTACTACCAGCAGCTGTACAGCACACAAAAGTGTTGACAATAAGAAGAAGAAGTGCACACATGGTACCAGTCCTGGAGGATTAGCCTCTAGGATGTTGTTTTCCCTGTTTGAGTTGTTATCATCTCTTGACACCTTTGACACCTTGTGCTACCACTGCTGGCATTGCAACCTCCAGTTGTTTCTACTCTGTCTCAGAACTCTTGACATGACATATGTATTTAATGTTTTCCTTCCATGTAGTTCTACCTCAGCATTGCTTATATGTTCACTGAGATACATATTATTAGTTATATGATTATTCACCTCTACAATACACTTTTCTATGACTTTCATCTTTATATATGTGCCATTATACTTACGGTATCATTCCTTACATTTCTCTGACTATTTACATGACTTCCTGATCTCCCTAGGATGTCCCTAGGTTGAGTTATTCCTTACCTTTGGGTTGTGGCTTGTCTGTTTACATTTGTTTACCAAACATCTCCCATATCCTAGAGTCCAGTTGGATCAGGATCTGCAACTGAGTTGTTTGTGAGGCTAGTTAGTGTAACTAGGACTCATAACCTGATAAAACTAAGTAAAAGTGGTGTATGCTGCACTACTGCATAGTTAGATATAAAAGTAAACATTAATGACAGCAAGTGCATACCTCAGCCACTATCCAAAGGAAGGATGAGAGAATGACTGAGGGAAAAATACATGACAAGGGTCTATTATATGATAGGAATGATGTCAAGATATCCCTAACCTCTCCGCTATTATGTGTACACCTGAGCACTTCCAAGGTGTGTTCAAGTGCGTGTGCGCCAGTGTGCACACAGTAATGCGAAAGCACGATGGAGTGCGATGAAGTGCGCACATACTCAATGAAGATAGAGAATGTGTGCTGCAAAGAAAGTGCACATGCAAGAGCGAACTCATCTGGTTTTGTCATCAACAACTCTGCTGCATGTAAGCAGAGCAATGAAAGAAATAGCTCTTAACTCTAGATAAGAGATAGAGCTAAACTCTCTAAGTGTTGGTCAATATATGCTGTACAATCTATTTGACCTTTAAGGGAAGCAAGGAAAGTGAAGATCTACTGATTAACTTTGATGAATGGTGATTGAAAGTGCAAAATGTGCGCTAAAGGTGCATGGGGAAAATTGAAGTACAATGGTACACAGTGTGGGAAAGTAGTGAGTGGTGCACATGTTAAG